CGTTAGCCACATTCTAATGCTAACCGGAAATGACGAATTTTCAGAATAAAAGTGTTAAATTAATAGTTAGTGTGAACTTCCGTTTTTTTCAGAATAAAACTGCTTTAAATTAAAGCCCTGTATTTTTATTTAAATTACATCATATCAACATTGATTTTAATTTCTTACAGTAGGAGAGGTTTTGGGGTTTAGGTTTGGGAGGGAGGAAGGAAGATTAGGATTAGGTAAAAAGGTAGGGAGTGGTTGGGGTTAGGATGGGGGGAAGGGAAGGGTTAGATTGAAGGGAGGGAAGATAACTGCTACCCGGGAAACAGGATGCAACGCGTCATCTGTGAAGCTCGTCACGTGCCTCAAAGGTTGAGAAGGAGGGGCCGTCCCGTCACGTGCCTCAAAGGTTGAGAAGGAGGGGCGTTGAGGCTCCGCCCATGTTGAGCTCCCGCCCATCTTGAAGTACTGCACACTGCAGTGAGGGGCTTCTCGGTCGTTCTGATATCTCCGCCCCTTCGCTCCAACCCCCCTCCCTCCCCCCACATCTAGGTGAAAATTACTTTTACGACACATTTATCGCAAGAAGTGTAGCAAAAGTCAAGACCGCAGATTAGTCGATTTATACTGCCACAGAGCAGATTCGTCAAGTTGTAATGACTGATTTGAGAGGTTGTAATAACCAAGTTGCAGTTGTAATGGAAAATATATTTAAAAAATATGTGAAGTGAACATTTCATCACTAAGTTCATTTTTTTTCTACAAGCTACAAAACTTTTTATTTCCTTCTGTGACTTCAAATTTGGTTCACAGTTACGTGGATATTTTATACAAGTGTAAATGTATGCACACAAACTCAGATTTATTTTCTGCAAGTGCTCACATCAGGTTTTACAGGCTCTCGCATTTTGCACCATATCTTCATACACAGAGAGAATGAAACAGAAGGAGGTAATGGAAGGAAATGCATTCACACATGCATGTATATATGTACAGTATGTGGCATCACAGTGAGATTTGTTCTGGGAACACAAGGTTCATGTGGGAAGATAAAACAATGTTAAAGAAGATTAATGATGTTTATTCAATGCAAACAGTTACACTTTTAATGACATGACAAAGGAAATCAGACTCTTTCACAGCTCCTTTCAGAAGCTTTGAAAATATTAACTCATTAATGTATTAATGAATAATTAATCAATACAATTAACAGGATTACGTAATAAGGATACCAAAATAAAAATAACATGTACTCCCTAACAGCAGAGTTGGGTGTAATCATATTACTTGTGTCGGTAACGGAGTAGTGTAACGCGTTACTTTTATAATTCAGTAATCACACTACAGTTACTAACAGTGCCCCGACACGCGTTACTTCGTTACTTTTATAAAATAATCACTCACTGACAGACAAGAGGGGTTTCCGCCGCAGGTTTATATACATGTAGGCCTATGTAATCTGCGCGACTTGCGAGACCACATCTCCATGTGCAGTGCTGCATAAACATGGCTGAGTCTTTCCATCTGTAAACTCCCTCAACGGGGCCGCTCGCTCTCTTTTGTTGATCGCCCTCTCACGGGTGAACAGTTCAATGCCCCGCTTCATTGTAGGAATTCTGCCATATCTCTACCACTTTAGTTTGACCATCTCTGTTACTAAGTTATGGAATACTAAATACATAAGTAGATACCTTACCGTTACTGCGCTCATAAAGAATGATAAGAATAATGCGTCTTGAACTGGTTTAATTCATTAGTGTCTTGACGTTTCACAGACTGTTAGCTTGTTGTGTGGCTGGTAGCCTATTTTAGAGCATATAAAAAGAAAGACTTGTGTTATGTCTTCCTTAATGCAATAGTAATTGGGGGTGCAAGTGGAGTCTCGCAGAGGCAAAATTGTGGCGCGCGCACACTGTAGGTGTGCCGCAGTCTGCGTGATCTGCCTGTAGGTAGGGGCGGGCCGGCCCTGCGAGTAAAGTAACGAGTAAAGTAACGAATAAGGTAACGAGTTACTTTATGTAGAGAGTAACGAAGTAGTGTAATATATTACTTTTTTTAAAAAAGTAATATGTAATATATTACTTTTTTTTAGTAACGACCCCATCTCTGCCTAACAGTTACATTAAAAAAAATTGCGCGGTAATCAGATTAGTGGAACATTTAGAAAAAAATGGGGATTCCGAGAAGGATCACAATGTTACAAAACATTTAAATGGGCCCTATTATGCTAATTATTTGGTTCATATTTGTATTTTGTGCCTCTACTGGGATATGCCTCCATGGTTTAATGTTCAAAAAGCTCTTTATTTTTCTGCTGCAGCACCTCTTTTCACCCTCTGTCTGAAACCAGAGTCCAGTGCTCTGATGAAATGGCCGACGCTGTTGTAATTGGTCAACCGCTTAGAAGTGTCCCACCCCTTAGCCCAGGGGTGGCAAACTCATTTCAGTTAAGGGGCCACATACTGCCCACTTTGATCTAAAGTGGGCCGGACCAGTAAAATCATAGCATAATAACCCACAGGCCCTATAACGACAATATTTCTGTTTAAGTGCAAATAAGTAGGCTACAAGTACATTCGGAAAATGTCCACATGTAATGAGACGCAAAACGTTATGAACAAACTGACATTTATTAAGAAAAAACAAGTGCAATTTCAAGTGCTACACATATGTTCTTTACAACAGATCACAGTTTCCACCTGAACTGACTCACCACAAAATACAAATAAAAACGTGGGAGCTATTAAGTGAGGAGTTTGAGTTACCCCCCTTGCCTTGAAGATATAACATTTCTATATTTTAAAAAGAAGTTGGGCAGTGCCACATCAAATCAAACTATTGTTTGCCTAATGCAGCTGCTGATTGACATTATAATACACAATGTTCTATGACATAATAATATAACATGTTCAAATATTTCAGTAGGTTCTTATTTTCACGTCACTGATTAATTTGCTCCTGAAACTTGACATCTTTTAGCCCTCACAATGGCATCAATATCAGGCTTAAAATCCTGACTAGCAGCCAATTTAATGAGTTCATTCAGGCACTTGTGTGTGAGTCTCGAGCGCAGCTTTGTTTTAGTAATGTTCATTACAGAGAAAACCTGTTCACAAAGGTAGGTGGTCCCAAACATGCTCAAAACTTTTGCTGCCAGGGCTGTCAATTTGGGGTATCCTGGCAAAAGATACCGATAAAATGTGCCCAAGTCCGATGAGGCAAATTTGTCCTTTAAATCCTGATCACATTGTAAGTCGATTATCTCAAGTTGTATGTCGACGGGCAGATCCGCAGCCTTAACTGCAAATGGCGAGCGAAACACTGCAAACTCTGTCTCAAGCTCACCAAAGACCTGAAACCGCCGCTCAAACTCCCGCAGCAATTCCGTAATGTTGTCTTTGTACCGACTCATGTCAGCAGTAACTCCGGTCATATGCACATTTCTTAGATGAGGGAAATGAGCAGGGTCACCACTTGACAGCTGTGTCTCCCACAAAGCCAGCTTCAACTTAAATGCGCGTATGCTGTCATAATATTCTGTGACAACTTTTTTGCGACCTTGCATCGTTATATTCAGATTATTCAAGTGCTCTGAAATATCCACCATAAATGCAAGGTCCTGCAGCCATTCTGGGTTTTTTAATTCATGCACTGGCTTACCCTTTTTCTCCATGAACTGTCCAATTTCCTCGCGTAGATCAGAAAAACGCTTCAGCACGGCACCTCGGCTCAACCACCTTACTTCAGTGTGATATGGTAGGCTACAGGTGATGTCTTTATCACTGAGGAGGCTGTCGAACTGACGGTGATTCAGCCCTCTGGCTCGGATGAAATTAACAGTTTGGACAACCACTTTCATGACGTGATCCATTTTTAACGTCTTGCAACACAATGCCTCCTGGTGCAAAATACAGTGGAATGTCCAAAAACGATCTCCTCCATTTGCTGCTTGTACTTTCTCCCTGAATTTCGTGGCAACACCTGCTTTTTTCCCGATCATTGATGGTGCGCCGTCTGTAGCCAGACTGACAGCACGGGTCCAGTCCACTCCGACCCTGTCCAGTGCTTCAACGAGAGCGCTAAAAATGTCATCCGCTTTAGTGGTGTCTGTCATAGGAACCAACTCAAGGAACTCTTCGGTGACCGTGAAAGTCTCATCTACACCACGAATGAATATGGCCAGTTGAGCAACATCTGTAATGTCAGTGCTCTCATCGATTGCAACTGAAAATGCTACGAATGACTTGACTTTTATTTTTTTTTCTGGCTATCCAAATCTGCTGAAAGATCGGCAATCCTATCCTTCACTGTATTCCTCGTTAGACTAATGTTGGAAAAAGCCTGTCGCTTCTCAGGACACACGATTTCTGCAGCCTTCAGCATGCATGTTTTCACAAACTCACCCTCAGAGTATGGCTTTGAGGCTGATGCTATTTCGTTAGCAATGAGATAGCTGGCTTTCACGGCTGCGTCACTTATATCTCGGCTCCGGGTAAAAACGGCCTGTTGTTTCTTTAGACCTGATAGCAGGTCATTTATCTTTTCTTTTCTCCGTTGTCCTTGCAAGCAGTCGTATTTCTCTCCATGGTGAGTCTCATAATGGCGGCGAATATTATATTCTTTGGGCACAGCAACTTGCTGCGAACACACCAAGCATACAGGTTTTCCATTTACCTCTGTAAAAAAATAGGATGCGGTCCATTTTTCTTGGAAAACTCGGCACTCCGTGTCCACTTTTCTCTTTTTTGACAGAGACATTTGGGGATGAGAGTGTCAGAGGTTATTGACTGCAATCACTACTCTTACTCATCACTTTTTTTACAGTCTGGCTGCGCTCTCACTGGTACCGGTGCGGTAGTGCGCCCACTAGTGGAAGGATTCAAAATAGCAGTTTTTTTTCCCTCCTCTCATACAGTAGCCTACTTAGCAAAATCCTTCAGCTCCGTGGGCCAAGCTGGAATGCCTCCCGGGCCGGATCCGGCCCGCGGGCCGTATGTTTGCCACCCCTGCCTTAGCCTATCACTTACAATGTGTTGGAGTGCTAGCCAATGGGAGCACAAGTGTTACTTATTGATGTCACTATTTTACGGAAGTAAACAAAGGAGTCCAACGGAGGCGTTTTCGGGGGGGGAGTGTGTGGGAGAGAAACTCCCTCTGTAGGGAAGAAAGGATTTTAGCCTCTGCAGACCATTTACATGCACAAAAACCTATAAAACCAACTACAGGAAAGGGAAGACCCCAAAAAACAGGGTAGGGCCCCTTTAAAATGTCTCATCTCCAACAGTCTACTTGATTCCCGCCATCATGTGGATCCACCAGTTGGCCTGCACGGTCCAGTCCAGCCGCTCACACTCAGAGATCTGGTGGAGGAAGTGCTCTTTGGCCTCCGCCTCACTCTGCTCCTGCTGCAGCGCATCCCGTAGGTAGCGCATGTCCTCTGCAGCGCTCAGCTCCGGGATGCCTGTCAGCAGCATGAGGGAGAACAGAGTGACTAGCAAGCGAGAGTGAGAGCGCAGGGAGAGGTACGCCTGGGTGCAAGTGTCCTAATATGGACAGGAGAAAAACACAAGTAAGTAAGATAATACAAACACAAACACTGTCTGTAAAATATCTACAGTACATTTACTCCTATAATATTAAACATGTACGGCACAAAGGGAGTGCAACAATACCAAAACAGGAAAAGGATAGCTCTGTTGGCGGTAACTCTGTCATCAAAGAGTATCAATGTAAGTTATTTGCAGTTACAACCGTAGGAGAGGGAAAACAAGTAACCGTGGAAACCAAAATCCAGTGTATCCTATGCAGTGTTTAACGATGAAAGTAGCTAACACAAGCTCCAAAGGTCGCTAAAATAACATCATGCATATTTGTGACATCATAACACATTTACATTTATGCATTTGCAGGATTAGTTGAGCGTTTTAAGAGGAAAGACTCAACCCACACTGTCGCAGAAGAGACTGAGATTACTCTGAGCAGCATTTCGAATGAATCACAATGTAATGTATTTGAATATACAGTATTTCTTCCTTTTGCCCTGATGTTTTGAATGACAGTGACTGACCACACACAGTGTCCTTTATTACACCCGTGCAATGGCGGTTCTAGACCAATTTGACTGGGGGGGCCACTGGGGGGCCAGTTATTTTCTGAGGGGGGCACAATAAATGCAGGACGAAAAAGAGAACTAGACAGTATGAAGTAATTGCGCATAAGAAAACAATGCAATACAGTTATTGGTATTTGTTTCAGTACACTTATTTATTTCAGATAGATCTTATAGTTATTACTGTTAGCTTCAGCTTAAGTTATAGTGCAATGTTTGCACTAACACCATATTTATATAAAAATAAAGGCAATGAACAGTTACATCTCTACTTTACATAAGGGTGTCTGCACAATCTCACATTACAGCAACAACATCCTAGACCACGGGAGGTCAGCAAAAACAACATTTCCAAGGGATAATAAGTTATTCTTTGTACTGTATAAATGTTTCTTATAGAATCAAACTGGCTATATTATATGTATCTTACTAGATAGATGATCAGATTTGGGCCACTTTATGATGTCATAACCAGGGCTGCACATAACTGGTGCGCAGGTGGGCATGCGCACCTCGGCCAAAGAAAGAGCACCGGGTCATTTGAAAAAAGGCGCATTTGCGTACCAACATTGAGAGAGAGGGAGGGAGAAGAGAAAAGAGAGAAGAGAGGAGAGAGAGAAATATATTTGCGAGTTGCATATGAACTCAGGGTTATAGATGTTCGCCTAGGGCGCCAGGGGCCTCATTTATAAAGGGATATACGCTAAAAAAAATGGCGTACGCCAGTTTCTACGCAATGTTTGCGATTTATAAAATACTAACTTGACGGGAAAACGTGCGTTCCTCCACGCAAACTCTAACCCATGCGTACGCACTAAGCACAAAAACGGGAGAGACGAGAAACTGCGACACCGTTGGCAGAAGGAAGAATGGAGAGAAATATGTGGAAATAATACCATAAATAAAATGTTACCTCTCATTTATCATATAGGAAGAATTCATTTTCAAACATTGATTAAAGCCAATCTTAAAATGATTAAACAAATGCCTGTTTGAGACTCCTCGGTGCACACAAAAACATAACTTGGAGAAATAAATAAATACGGATATGTTATTTAAAACCACCTCGAATATGTTGTGTTAATGTTATGAAATGTTTTCTGTTGGAGAAATACTGTTTTCTCTACTCTTTGGGTTGTTTTAATGCACTGATATCATGTGGGTGACTCTGAACTGGTTATGACCTTGCAGCTGCATCTTCTTGTTCTTGGAGGCAGGAGGCAGGGCATCTCATGTTGTTGATATTAGCGCCACCTCGATTTACGATTTTGTTGTTATCTCCCTGTTTCGGACTATATAAGCCTGATGTTTGTTGATGCTCCTTTGAGCAACATACCCCATGTGTGTGAATTAACCCATATCCTTTGTATGTGATTTAACTCTGCTCCTTCTTGCAAGAATAAATTAGTTACCTGATCATTGATTCTCAACCTGGTGTCGAGTGATATTTTTCCTAACATCTTCTCATAAATGATGCGGTTTTGCATTTCTATAGGTTGTACGAGCATGGTTTTATATAGCCTACTACCATGTTTCATCATGTTTTATGCCGTTTGCTAAGACTTGATAAGTCGCTCATAAAACACAGGAGGTATGGAAACTAAGAAAACCATATGTGGTAAATTGTACAGCTGATATAACACAACACATTAGTTGTATTTCCTTTAACTGCTGGATATAGGGTTGCTGCAGTGGAGACACTGCGCACAGCTGATCGACAGCTGGGACACAAACCACCAAATACGAAAACATAATTCAGATCCAGTCGTCATGACTCCACTCCGGAGGGATTCCCCGATCATGTCTTACAGTTTCTCATCAAGGGGGGTCTCCTGTCCCCGGTACAAACACACTGCCTGAGGAAGGCTATGTGTATTTTTTTTGTCATGAACCTTTTTCGGACCACTTATTTATTTTGGTGACGATCCGACCTCCATGCTGCTACTCTGGTTCAAACTGCATCCACCAAACAATATGATTTATCTCCACCTCCCCAAAATAACCAGAATCTGACACGGTGTGAGATGTCTTTTTTAGCTGTTCTGTCGTCATTTCCTGCGATCTTCTTCATAAAGTCAGTCAGAATGAATGAATGAATGGGCGTTTCTTTGACTATTTATAGGCAAATATGGGCGTTACGTGAAGCCCGCAAAAGCTGCACCGCATTTCGAGTCGATTGTGATTTATAAAGGGAAACCGGCGTAGGAAGTGCGGTACGCACTTTCCTCGCCGGTACGCAATGTTTGGTGAATCGGAAAATGTCGGAACATTTCTGTACCTATTTTTTGGATTTCAACTACGTAAGCAACCTTCCCACGTGAATCCTACGCACGGCGTTATAAATGAGGCCCCTGATCTGTGGAGGCGCTGCGCTGGTAGTTCTGGGAGGGAAAAAAACATTTTTGACCGTTGGGGCTCATCCTCATTTTCGGCCTTGATGTAACAATATTCATAATTAAGTAAATGTAACACCCTTTTCACCCCGGTTACACGTTTCATTTTCCCTGTACGATGGGCGCTGTAAGTGATGAAAATGGGGGATGTTGGCTTATCTGGCACCCGCAGCTCACAGCCAAAGTGCGAGTGAGCGAGGGAGAGAGGGAGGGTGCACCGGTACCTGTGTTGCAGTATAACTTGAGTCATGAAAACTGGCGACATTCTATTATTTTCGTCATAGGAATCCGGGGCGTGTACATTGAGGACCCATTGTTGACTTACCATGTCGATCGCCTGGTTTGTCGTTTACGTTCATCTTTTGCTATATCTGCCTTCCTAAGATCACTTTGATGCACATTCAGTACTCGTATGTGAGGTTGTGGGTGAGAGGTGGATATCGTGACGCTTACAGGGAGGTATCGAACATTACAAAGTAGGTGACTGTGTGGATGCCTGTTCAAAATATTGCAAACTTGAATAAATCATTTAAATTATATATTTCATACTTTCATTTGTACATCGTTCTTAATGTGATGTATAGTAGCTCTGATAGCTGTCCATACCTTCAGACAGCCTAAAAGTAAAACACAAGTTGTTTATTCACAGCCCGAACGCTCATCGACATGACTGGATCACTCATGACAAGTTGTGATCAGCTCCGATTAAATCTCATCACAACAAGACTCTACACTGTGCAGGAAAAACAATTACATACATGAAAATAACCTTGATGCATGGGAATGAAACACACAAACTATCTTCCGTGGCTATACTGATATGTCACAGTAACGGTAAACCACAGAAAAGTAAGTCCAGCGGGGCACAAGTTTAATACATATAATACAGTAGTTCTATTATGCCTTTAAGCCTATACGTTTAACCCATAAGAACCCGGACCCATTTCTACTTTTGGGGAAATTAAGGGGAACGTCATTTAGACTAAATAGACCACCTAGAACACATTTCTGACAAGTAACCCCCCCTAGTGTCAAATATCTGAAATGTGACATATGTGTCACATTGGGCTTTAATGGTAAAGTAACTCTTATTTGTAATTTCATTAATGAGGATGATTTTTTGGTTTCCATTTGTTTGAACATACTTTGAATTGAAGGGTTTAGGGTTAATGTCCCGATGTGACATCAGTGTCACAGCAATATTTATGGCATTTGTTTCATATCAATTTCATCAATAAATGTTTCTACAACAGGTTATATGTAATCAGAATCAGAAAAGAGCCGAAGACAGCTTAATGTTTAACAAATGACATGTCATGTAAGCATTTCTATTCTTAAATGGCTTGAATGTTAACTTTAGCAACAAAAAACCTTTCCAAATGTAGCTAATTCTGTCACATGTGTTAGCCTGGCACATGGACATCTTGGACATGTTGTTATGGGAACACAAAAGCAAATGACAAGGACCATAACCCACCAGACTGTTCAGTGTGTGTCACTTAGGGACTTCATGAGATAAAAAAGGCTAAAGCTGTATAAGGAACTTTCCAGAACATTTAAAGTTCATGTGACACCTGTGTCTAAGCAATTCTGTCTGCCTTCCGTGTTGCACCATGAGGACCCACTGATATAAAATGCTTAACTGTCTAAGTTGCAACCATGCACTTTTTGGAGGGCTAAGCCCCAACTTGACATATTTTTGGCTTCATTTATAGAAGGAAAGACAACAGTGATAGTTATGTTTCAGAATAACATTTATTGGAAATTGTTAGAACAATCTCACTGGTCACCGGCTTGAGCTTCAATCTCAGGATCCATGTATTTGTGATCAAAAGTAGGCTAATATAAAAGTAGAGTAAGTCATAACATTTCAGAGACAGTAATATTGTAATGTAACGTAGCCTATTACTTAAAAAAGACAGTAATAAGTAATGTACTGTATTACATTTTGGAAGTAACTTGCCCAACACTGCAGATGATCCAGTTATCTCGATGCTGCTTTCGGGCTGTGAATAAACAACTTGTGTTTTACTTTTAGGCTGTCTGAAGGTATGGACAGCTATCAAAGCTACTATACATCACATTAAGAACGATGTACAAATGTTTTATATGTATTCAACTTGTGCCCCGCTGGACTTACGTTTCTGTGGTTGACCGTTACTGTGACATCAGTATAGCCACGGAAGATAATTTGTGTGATTCATTCCCATGCATCAAGGTTATTTTCATGTAGCCTATGTAATTGTTTTTCCTGCACAGTGTAGAGTCTTGTTGTGATGAGAGGGATACAGGTATTTCATTAAAAAAACGTGCTCCCTGGAGAATAGCTACAGCATTTATATCACAATTTAATCGGAGCTGATCACAACTTGTCATGAGTGATCCAGTCATGTCGATGAGCGTTCAGGCTGTGAATAAACGACTTGTGTTTTACTTTTAGGCTGTCTGAAGATATGGACAGCTATCAAAGCTACTATACATCACATTAAGAACGATGTACAAATGAAAGTCGGACACAAATATATAATTTAAATGATTTATTCAAGTTTGCAATATTTTGAACAGGCATCCACACAGTCACCTACTTTGTAATAATCGATACCTCCCTGTAAGCGTCACGATATCCAACCTCTCACCCACAACCTCACACCCACAACCTCACATACGAGTACTGAATGTGCATCAAAGTGATCTTAGGAAGGCAGATATAGCAAAAGATGAACGTAAACGACAAACGAGGCGATCGACATGGGTCGACAAGTCAACAATGGGTCCTCTGTACACGCCCCGGATTCCTATGACGAAAATAATAGAATGTCGCCAGTTGTCATGACTCATGACTCAAGTTATACTGCAACACCGGCGCTGTTGTTATTAGAATCTGGTGCTAGCTGCAGATATAAGAAGAAGATGTTTCTACAATAATGTGGAGGGAGATTCCTCTCCAGTCAGACCGAGAGACTGATAACTACAGCTCAGTGAGGTAAAGGACTCTAAGTGTTTAGATAGTTCACTTTAGTCTAAGTTCAAACAGTTTGGTCGCAATTTATGTAAACACATATTTTCAAGGCACTCCTTTATAATTATTGGGATAAACAGGTTTGAAATCATTCCAATGTATACTATAGGACAGTAACCAAACATATCCTTTTAAAACTGGACTTTCGAACCAAAACCAGCTGTTGACTTGTGGATCTCAACCAGAGAGAAAGTAGTAGGCCTACATCATCAGCTACCATGTCTGACAGAGAGGAAGACAGTGAGGAGTGTAGAGGAAACTTCTGTGTAGCTATGCAGTGGGAGTCACCGACTCAGGAAGGAGACACGGGAAGAGCAGTAGCTTTGATGTCAAACACATGATGGTTTATTTGGAGTTAACGGCCGGAGGATTCACATCACAAGTCCAAGAGTCAGAGGTTCTGACTTCACGGTAGAGTTGCCACGTCAATTCTGAAGAACTCTACCCCAGACCCATGTATTTAGCTAGTTCAGAGAGCATCATCAACATGCTGCATAACAAGATAGAATGATAACACCTCTATCAGCTGACGCCAACAGGCAGGAACAGGGAGACAAAACACTGAGAGCACAGCAGCCAAGGTTACAGGTGCCTGTGCTCAGTCAGGACAGTTTGAACTGATACACTGGGTCAAAGTTATGGGCCTTGGAAAATATTCCACAACAAGGAGAACATTCAGGAGGGTAGTGATGACAGCTTGTAGGATTACTGGTCGTGCTAATGTTGTCTTGTGTTCACCTCTGCATGTGTGTTCTGTGTTCACCTCTGTGTGTTCTGTGCCGTGTGTCTGACAAATAAAGACCGGTTTATTTATTTCATTTTAAGGATGAGCACCAAGCAACATCTCCAGGGGCCTCATTTATAACGCCGTGCGTAGGATTCACGTGGGAAGGTTGCTTATGTAGTTGAAATCCAAAAAATAGGTACAGAAATGTTCCGATTCACCAAACATTGCGCACCAGTAAGGAAAGTGCGTACAGCACTTCCTACGCCGGTTTCCCTTTATAAATCACAACCGACTCGAAATGCGGTGCAGCTTTTGCGGGCTTCACGTAACGCCCATATTTGCCTATAAATAGTCAAAGAAACGCCCATTCATTCATTCTGACTGACTTTAAGAAGAAGATCGCAGGAAATGACGACAGAACAGCTAAAAAAGACATCTCACACCGTGTCAGATTCTGGTTATTTTGGGGAGGTGGAGATAAATCATATTGTTTGGTGGATGCAGTTTGAACCAGAGTAGCAGCATGGAGGTAGGATCGTCACCAAAATAAATAAATAAATGGCCCAAAAAAGGTTAATGACAAAAACAATACACATAGCCTTCCTCAGGCAGTGTGTTTGTACCGGGGACAGGAGACCCCCGTTGATGAGAGACTAAGAAGTGATCGGGGAATCCCTCCGGAGTAGAGTCATGACGACTGGATCTGAATTATGTTTTTGTATTTGGTGGTTTGTGTTCCAGCTGTCGATCAGCTGTGCGCAGTGTCTCCACTGCAGCCTGTGCGTCTCAACCCCCCCCCCCGCAGAAACTCTATATCCACCAGTTAAAGGAAATACAACTAATGTGTTGTGTTATATTAGCTGTACAATTTACCACATATGGTGTTCTTAGCTTCCATACCTCCTGTGTTTTACGAGCGACTTATCAATCTTGGCAAACGGCATAAAACACGATTAAACATGATAGTATATAAAACCATGCTCGTATCTACAACCTATAGAAATGCAAAACGGCGTCAGTTTAGACGTAATTCTGTCCTCCTGCTTACCGCATCATTTATGAGAAAACATTTCATAACATTAACACAACATATTCCAGGTGGTTTTAAATAACATATCCGTATTTATTTATTTCTCCAAGTTATGTTTTTGTGTGCAGTGAGGAGTCTCAAACAGGCGTTTGTTTAATCATTTTAAGATTGGCTTAAATCAATGTTTGAAAATGAATTCTTCATATATGATAAATGAGAGGTAACATTTTATTTATGGTATTATTTCCACATATTTCTCTCCATTCTTCCTTCTGCCAACGGTGTCGCAGTTTCTCGTCTCTCCCGTTTTTGTGCTTAGTGCGTACGCATGGGTTAGAGTTTGCATGGAGGACCGCACATTTTCCTGTCAAGTTAGTATTTTATAAATCGCAAACATTACGTAGAAACTGGCGTATGCCATCTTTTGAGCGTATATCCCTTTATAAATGAGGCCCCAGGTGCTCCTTTGAGAACCAGGGCAAAAAAGTGATGTGCACCCCTGGTCATAACGTTTGTTTGGCTTGTGTACCCAATTAGCCAATAACCGACCTTTAAAGTATGGAGACCTGTCACAGAAGAGGCACAAAATATAAATATGAACTGGAAAATTATCCCTATAATTACACGCAACAGACAAACACAACCACGCACATGATCAGGGGCCTCATTTATAACACCGTGCGTAGGATTCACGTGGGAAGGTTGCTTACGTAGTAGAAATCCAAAAAATAGGTACAGAAATTTTCCGATTCACCAAACATTGCGCACCCGCGAGGAAAGTGCGTACAGCACTTCCTACGCCGGTTTCCCTTTATAAATCACAATCGACACGAAATGCGGTGCAGCTTTTGCGGGCTTCACGTAACGCCCATATTTGCCTATAAATAGTCAAAGAAACGCCCATTCATTCATTCATTCTGACTGACTTTATGAAGAAGATCGCAGGAAATGACGACAGAACAGCTAAAAAAGACATCTCACACCGTGTCAGATTCTGGTTATTTTGGGGAGGTGGAGATAAATCATATTGTTTGGTGGATGCAGTTTGAACCAGAGTAGCAGCATGGAGGTCGGATCGTCACCAAAATAAATAAATAAGTGGTCCGAAAAAGGTTAATGACAAAAACAATACACATAGCCTTCCTTAGGCAGTGTGTTTGTACCGGGGACAGGAGACACCCCCTTGATGAGAAACTGTAAGAAGTGAACGGGGAATCCCCCCGGTGTGGAGTCATGACGACTGGATCTGAATTATGCCATCTTTTGAGCGTATATCCCTTTATAAATGAGGCCCCAGGTCTACTCACCCTGAACCGCTGAAAGTAGAGGCTGTTGCTCCCTTTGCCCCTGCCCATGACATACAGGAAGTCAGGTGTGAGGACAAACGGTACACGCTCCCTGCTCACGCCGAGGAAGCTCTTCCTGTTACCCAGGATGTGACCGAAGTCGATGTGAAACAGGTTCCCTGACAGGCCCAGAAAAATATTTTTAGAGTAAGATCTGTCAATCACTTCAGCTGCTTTCATAATTTTGTGTTTTGCCGATGCAGATTTACTCAAGAATAATTAACAGTGCATACCTTGGTCTGTGATCATGATGTTGTCATTATGTCGATCTCCGATACCCAACACATAGGTGGCCACACAGTACCCAGCACAGGACTTCACAAATCTCTCCACCGTCTTGAAGTGCTTAAGTAAAATGAGATCAAAACAGTGCATTAACATCAAAGTTGCAGAGCACGCAATATACTTTATGTGATGTGTTTTTATTTATAACATATTTTCATGAAAATGGAATATTCCTGAAATCACAGGTTCATTTTCATGCAACTCTACAACCATCAGATACCCATCCCCAAAAGTCTCTTGCTCGAAGAGGACAATTATCTTTCTGATTTAGGGGAACAAAATGATTTAATGGCTTTTCCCACGTGGCAAAATACTGTACCTCTATAAAATGTTTTATAATGCCTGAAATATCTGAATATATCTGCATTTTTAGAACTGCTTTTTTTTCATACACACATATGCTTTTTCATACACACATATGCTATACTCACACACACGTGTTCGACTTCATCCACATTTCCTATATTCCTATATTTCATTTTCATTTGTTGTTATATTGATGTGTTTTCTATCATGTGTTGTTCAAAAAGTTTGCCATCATTATCAAATTGATATTATTGTTTGTATATATTGATTTCTAAAATTGTGAATTCTATCATTATTTAGGTGGAAGTTTCAAAGAAGCCCAGTGGGTTTGTTGCCTCTTCCTGCACAGTATCTGTTATATATTATATTATATATCTGTTATATATAGTAATCTGTTATATTTGTATATTTCTAATATATATACATGTATGGTATATCTGCAAAACAAAAAATAATAAACACTAAATACTCAGATTCAGCTTACACCCACAATAACGTACATCTATATACCCTTACGCTAACTCCTGCCAGTGTGCAACTCGATTTTGACAGGATAACAACGGGTGATTTCTAGAATTGTGTGAGTAACATTCTGTTTTTAGACTTCTCTGTTTCAGTGTGTGTACTCTGTATAAATGCTCTGTAGTTGATCTGATTGAAATTGTGATTTTAAATCTCAAAACCGCTACAGTATCTGTCAGGCAGAAACTTGGGACAAGTAATTTGACAGAAACCTTAAAACTGAACTAACTGACTGCTAGGGTTAACTTTGATTTAAACATTTGTAGAATACTAAGAGCTTTATTGAGTAGGTGTAACTGTATTAAGGGTTAAACTCATAACTTTATAACTTAGGGTTTAATGTAATTGTAAAACCATTGTGCCACTGAAAAGACAATAACAACTCAGGAGGGAGCCAGTCTCGATTTCCTTTTGAGGGCCACCAGCTGCAGAGAGTTAACTAATTAAAGGGGCGTGGCCCCACAGCTGTGAGAACTCAGCAATCAGGTGTCCATTTTAGGTAGCACTTTCCTGGACCGTCAGACGAAGACTGACAAAGACAAAGGAGTCCTGTTGGAGTAAGACTGACAAAGACAAAGGAGTCCTGTTGGAGTCACGAGGGAGGCAAAGAGGAGGCAAATTCTACTTTGATTGAGCCAAGTATTGCTGGTGTTTTATTTTCTTTAGTTTTTAAGCCCCTCATGCTATTTTCTCCATTCCTGTTTATGTGTCTTCTCGCAATTATCACTGGCCCCGTATATCTCCTAATCGATATAACCGGCCTGCTCTCGTCTATCCCACATGCTCCACTGAGATCCAACATCTAGTTGCAGGGGGCCTGTGGAACTGCCAGTCAGCTGTTCCTAAGGCCGACTTCATCTCTGGCTACGCTTCCCTTCAGTCCCTGGATTTCCTTGCTCTCACTGAGACCTGGATTACTCCATCCAACACATCCACCCCAGCAGCTCTCTCCACAGCATATTCCTTCACCCACCAAGACCCACTGGCAGAGGAGGTGGCACTGGTCTCCTGCTCTCTCCCAAATGGAGCTTTTCCCTCTACCAACTACCTAACTTCACTCCTTCCACCTTTGAATTCCATGCCGTCACAGTAACCCATCCTATACAATTAACCATTGTTGTTCTCTACCGTCCACCAGGCGCCTTGGGGAACTTCTTGGAGGAATTAGATAATCTCCTCTCACACATCCCTGAAACTGGCCCTCCCAATGTACTTCTCGGAGACTTCAACCTCTAGACAGGGAAGATATCTGAACTAACATCTCTTTTAACCGCCTTTGCTTTCTCATTGTCTGCATCCCCACCCACTCATAAAGCTGGCAATGTCCTTGATCTCATATTCTCAAGGAACTGCTCTACTTCTAAACTCTCTGTAAACCCGCTCCACACATCCGATCACTTCTTCATTTCATTCTCTCTACCCCTTTCCAAACATAACAAACTAATCTCTTCTCGTCCTGCACCTGTCCGCCGTAACCTTTGTTCCCTCTCCCCCTCTACCCTTGCCTCATCTGTGCTCTCAACCCTCCCTTCCTCTGACTCGTTCCAACTCCTGCCTCCAAACTCTGCTGGAGAAACTCTCCTCTCTACTCTCTCATCCTCTCTGGACTCTCTCTGTCCTCTCACATCTCTGCAGGCTCGTCAGTCCCCTCCTGCTCCCTGGCTAAATGATGCACTGCGTGCTAATAGAACCGTCCTTAGGGCAGCAGAGCGGAAATGGTGGTAATCCAAACACCCTGACGACCTCCTAATCAGGCTCTCCTCTCCTCTTTCTCTGCTTCGATCTCTCAGGCAAAAAGCACTTTCTTTCAAGATAAGATCCAATCTTCCTATTCCAATCCCAAAAAACTATTTTCCATCTTCTCCTCCCTCCTGGACCCCCCCAAAGCCCCTCCTCCCTTCTGTCAAGCGACTTTGTTAACCACTTTGAAAAAAAGGTTGATGACAATCGCTCTTCTTTTTCTGACTCACCTTTACTCACCGCTGGGTCACCAGACCCACCGTTCACCCACATACTGACCTCCTTTTCCCCTCTCTCCAAGTGAGGTTCTTACCCTCATTACCTCTGCCTGTCCTGCCACCTGTCCTCTGCACCCTATCCCTTCAAACCTCCTTCAGACTATCGCTCCTGATATTCTACCGTTTCTCACCCATTTCATCAACACTTCTCTAACTTCTGGTCACTTTCCAAACAGTCTCAAGGAGGCAAGAGTAAACCCTCTCCTAAAGAAACCCACTCTCAACCCGTTTGATGTTATAAACTACAGGCCTGTCTCTCTCCTCCCGTTCCTTTCTAAAACACTTGAACACGCTGTCTTTAAACAACTCTCCTGTCAGAACAACCTTCTGGATCCACACCAGTCTGGTTTCAAGGCAGGTCACTCAACAGAAACTGCCCTCCTTGCTGTCTCTGAGGAACTGCACACTGCTAAAGCAGACTCCCTCTCCTCTGTCATCATCCTTTTGGACCTGTCTGCTGCATTCGACACGGTGAACCATCAGATCCTCCTTCGCACTCTCCAAGAACTTGGAGTTTCAGGCTCTGCACTTTTCCTCCTCACCTCATACCTCAAAGACCGTACCTACAGGGTAACTTGGAGAGGGTCCGAGTCCGACCCTTGTCAATTAACTACAGGGGTCCCTCAGGGCTCTATTCTTGGTCCCCTCCTCTTCTCCTTGTACACAAACTCGCTCGGATCAGTCATTAGCCTGCATGGTTTTTCATACCACTGCTACGCTGACGACACCCAATTAATTATGTCCTTTCCCCGCTCAGAGACCCAGGTCGTCGCACACATCTCTATTTGTCTAGCGGACATCTCTCAGTGGATGTCTGCTCACCACCTCAAGCTGAACTGAACTGCTTTTCTTACCGGGAAAAGATTGTCCCACTCTTGACCTAACAATCAACATAGGCACCTCTGTTGTTTCCCCGACTCAGACTGCAAGGCATCTGGGTGTGATCCTAGATAACAAACTGTCGTTCACTGCAAACAACGCTGCTACAACCCGCTGCTGCAGATACACTCTTTACAACATCAGGAGGATGCGTCCCCACCTGACCCAGAAAGCGACGCAGGTTCTGGCCCAGGCTCTCGTCATCTCACGCCTAGACTACTGCAACTCCCTCCTGGCTGGTCTAACTGCATGTGCCATCCGACCTCTGCAGCTCATCCAGAATGCAGCGGCTTGCCTGGTCTTCAACCTTCCTAAATTCTCCCACACCACGCCGCTCCTCCGCTCCCTTCACTGGCTTCCGGTCACTGCTAGAATCCACTTCAAGACAATGGTACTTGCGTTCCATGCTGCGAATGGATCTGGCCCTTCCTACATCCAGGACATGGTTAAACTGTACACCCCAGCACGTGCACTCCGCTCTGCATCGGCTAAACGGCTCGCTGCACCCGCACTGCGAGGGGGACCCAAGTTCCCATCAGCAAAAATATGTGGGTTTGCTATCCTGGCTCCAAAATGGTGGAATGAGCTCCCCATTGACATCAGGACAGCAGATAGCTTACATATCTTCCGGCGCAGACTGAAAACTCATCTCTTTCGACTCCACTTTAAGCGATAGAATTATTAACAAAGCACTTATATACTAATAAAGGGCTGGCTTATCTAAAGCCAGTTGAGTAGCACTTGAAATGTTTTAGCTCTATGAAACCTGATGTACATATATGATTCTGTTTTCTTCAAGTTTGTATTTTGTTGGTCGAACGCACTTATTGTAAGTCGCTTTGGATAAAAGCGTCTGCTAAATGCAATGTAATAGGAAAGGGCAGCCCTATATTGAGGAGTAATCAGTTCCTCTTATAACCACACTTTAGAACATGCAAACTGTCCCTTTATTCAGATAAGATGTCAAAATGGTTTTATTGGCAGGTAAACGTTAATAATGCACAGTCAAAAATAGAAATGACTTTTTTAACGACAGAATGTAGGCAACACCACGGACCAATGTGACTCATCATCTCATTAAGCTAGTACCACTCAAATAAGAAGGCCTGATTTGAGCATGGTTTCTCATTTGTAATGACATATTACAAGTGCATTGGGGTCCAAATCCATTTGTTCCATATTACTTACTATTTCCTGGAGTGGACATTTGGACTTTAGCCACTCAAACAGAGCATCGTTTTTGAAGGCTCCTATGGTTCCTCCATGGATCCTCTGCACGGTGGCGATGGTCGCCGCATCCCTCACAATCTCTATCATACCTGTTGAGGAGAAACTTGATGAAGAAATTCAATTCTAATTTGTTTGATTTGATGTCTTTACAAGGATCTCCATTAGCATGAGCCTCAGCTAATTCCTGAGGTTCACACAGCAAACATAAATAAAACGTAATGTAATTACAAATCAAGGATGAAAGTGAAACAAATATCCTGTTAACCATCATTAAGCCAAATTCGAAATGATCAATCAAATAATTCCTTAAGAATTCATACCATAATTATACTACAAATAAATGGTAATTACAGACAAAACATAAATCCTTGTGTGAAATGACCTTAAATGTATCTTTCCTGTGCCTTCAGACATATTACATTCTTGTTGATAAATGTCATGATAATATATAGTTGTAAAGTAGACAATATCTGCCTTTTCATACACAGTGCACCATAATACCACCATATTAGTGGTAAGTGATAAGAAAATATATATTACTCTTTTTTCAACATTCTAAATGAATGAAGATTCCCTATTTCTGGACTGACCTTCATTACATGATTAATGTTGATATTGGTAAAAAAAAAAAATACTGTTCTTTTTTTCTAAATGGCTCTAAAATTATCCGGAAGTTGCCAGGATACAACATCAAATTATTTTTAAGTAGAGTCTAATCAAGTTTATTGACTGTATAATCAGTTTCTGATTTGCAAAACATCCAGACAGTATAGTCATATATGGAAGTTTGTTGTTAAAAGTTTCTAGTTATATGATACGTTTTGGTAACAACATGTTATTACGATAAACTTCATCTTTTAATGTCTAACTGATCAGTTTTCTTCATGTCATATTCTTTTTATTAATGAACAATACAATAATTTAACCTATGTTGTTTCCCGTAGAGATGCAGCCGTATGGAACAAGGTTAAGGTCCAGAGACTTCTCCTGCCAGATAGAGTCCATCACCACCAGCGTCTAAACAGGAAGACACAGTCAGGTGTCACTTCATCCAAAGGCAAAACATTCAACATCATAAAACAACTTCAATTCTCGTTAACCTGAAGGACCAGCATGTCCTGTCTGAGGTCGTCCCCCTGTTTGAAGATTATTCCGACAGGTGTAGGGGAACTGGGAGACGGCATGGGAGAGAACTCCAGCCACAGCGGCTTCTTCTTAGAGGCCATCACCTTACATTTATCCAGCTGGAGGAGAGGAATATCAAGAAAACTGGTTTATTTCTGGTGGGACAGGTCACAGGGTTTGGATTTGAGTCATTATGTTTTTCATAATTATTAGGGTAATTTAATATGACATTCTGACTACTGTAAGTCAGAGTAGCTGCTGATAAAACATAAGAAAATATAGTGCAGATATTGATTCTTAAGTCTGGGCAGGTGGAAGAAATGGAGATGGATGGTGGGGGAGAGCAAAGTGAGAGGCAGCAGAGATAGGAGAAGACAAACAGAGAGATGAGAGAAAGGAGATACAAAAATAAATGGATGTGACGGAAAAAGAACTGAAAAAGTTTGTTTAACTTTCGACTCAAAGGTCAAACTCTCTTATTTATAGAGTATGTGGACACTGTGTGTGTGTTTTTCAACATGTACTAAAGAGCTGACTATGTTAATTATGGCATTGCAGAAACATCCACAGAAGATGAAGCCAGACAAAAATCATCAATATCATTCATATTCAACACACTCTCTCAATGAGTACACAAACATGTGCAAAGCTTACCAAGATCCTTCCAGCTTTGATGCGGGGGTCATAGGGCAGCAAGAACTCATTTGGCAGATTGGAGTTCCTAAGAAGCTCTTGAAGTCTGAGGGGAGCTTCAAAAAATAAAAACAGACACAACTTTAAATGAATGCACCAAATAAGCTATATTTATTTGATATACTTAAACCTGGATCTTATGAATTTAAAATGCATAGGCTTTATTTATATCGAATACATAGGTTCTATTGTATTTGAAACACATTGGATGTATTGATAATAAGGTTGTAGACGTAGTTATTATGTATTTGCAATGCATAGAGTTTATCAGTCAATTTATGCTAAAACAATGTCGGACACTGTAATCTTCTCTGGTCCCCTCCCCAATCAGATCAATGACGACATGTATAGCCGCATGTCATCATTTCAGCGCTGGTTGTCTTGGTGGTGCCCAGCAAACAATGTGGGCTTCGTAAATAATTGGACAGCCTTCTGGGGAAAACCTGGTCTGATTAAGAGAGACGGCATTCATCCTACTTTGGAAGGTGCAAATCTCATTTCGGCAAACATTTCAGGGCTTTGTGGACTTAATCCATGACAAAGTGGAGTTGAGACCAGGAGGCGGAGTCGCAGTCTTACACGCTTCTCTGCGCTCTCTCCTAGGCAGTCATCCATAGGAATCCCGAACCCAATAAAATACAGAATATTAACGGTGTGTGTGTGTGTCTGCCCAAGGACAATTTAAGGTAAAACCTAATAGAGGTGTCATACATAACCTAATCAAAGTAAATGTAACAACTACTACAGTGCAACAAAACCGGAAGATTCAATGTGGTCTCTCAAACATAAGATCTCTAGCATCTAAAGCAATATTGGTAAATGATTTAATATCAGATTATAATATTGATATATGCTGTCTCACTGAAACTCGGTTGAGACATGAAGAATATGTCAGCATAAATGAGGCCACTCCACCCAGCCATATCAATACTCATATTGCCCGAGGCACGGGCCGAGGAGGTGGAGTTGCAGCAATCTTTGACTCAAGTTTACTTATCAATACTAAACCAAAATTGAATTATACCTCCTTTGAAAGCCTCGTTTTTAGTCTTACGCATCCGACCTGGAAAACTTTGCAGCCAATCTTATTTGTTACAGTGTACCGTGCACCAGGTCCTTATTCAGAATTCTTATCAGAATTCTCTGAGTTTTTATCAACTTTCGTACTTAAAACAGATAAAGTAATTACCGTAGGTGACTTTAATATTCATGTTGACAATGATAAAAATAGCCTTACTGTTGCATTTAACTCTATATTAGATTCTGTTGGTTTCTGTCAGAGTGTAAATAAACCAACCCACTGCTATAATCACACTCTCGACCTTGTTCTGACTTATGGTATTGAAATTGAGCAAATATTAGTCGAACCGCATAATCCTGCTTTATCTGACCATTTCATAGTAACTTTTGAAGTACTGTTACTAGACTACAAAGCATTAGTCAAAAGCTCCTGCATCAGAAACCTATCTGTTAGTGCTATAGCCAAATTTAAGGAAGAGATTCCACCAATACTTAACTCGATAGCATGTCTGCATGTAAGGGAGGAAACTTATACAAAATGTACACCACCCCAAATTGATCATGTTGTTGATAGTGCTATAGATGCGCTGCGAATAAAATTAGACTCTGTTGCTCCTTTGAAAAAGAAGAAAATAAAACAACATAGATTAGCTCCATGGCATAATGCCGAAACCTGCAAAATAAAGCAAAAGTCGAGACAACTTGAAAGGATATGGAGTTCCACTAAACTTGAAGAATCTCGTTTAATTTGGCATAATACTCTCAATGAATATAAGAAAGCACTGCGTAAAGCGAGAGCAGCCTACTACTCTTTATTAATAGATGAGAATAAGAATAATGCAAGATTTCTTTTCAGCACTGTAGCCAGGCTGACAGAGAGCCATAGCTTGATTGAGCCTTCTATTCCCATAGCACTCAGTAGTAATGATTTTATGTGCTTTTTTAACGATAAAATTGTTACTCTTAGAAACAAAATTAATGACCTCTTGCCTTTGACCAGTATAGTGTTATCAACAGCTCCCGGAAACGTAAGTTCTAATATTACACTAGATAGTAAACTAGAATGCTTTTCAGCCATTAACCTTGAACAATTAAATTCAATGATTCTCTCTTCTAAACCATCAACGTGCATTTTAGACCGAATTCCAACTAAGCTGTTGAAGGAAGTTTTTCCATTAATTAGCACTTCTTTATTAAATATTATGAATATGTCTTTATTATCAGGCTATGTTCCACAATCATTCAAAGTAGCAGTGATAAAACCGCTTCTTAAAAAGCACAACCTCGATCCAGAGGTTTTAGCCAACTATAGACCTATTTCTAATCTTCCGTTCCTCTCAAAGATTCTTGAGAAAGCGGTCGCAAATTAGCTGTGTGATTACTTAAAAAACAATGATTTATTTGAAGATTTTCAGTCTGGCTTTAGAACACATCATAGCACAGAGACAGCTCTGGTTAAAGTCACAAATGACATTCTAATAGCCTCAGACAAGGGACATGTCTCTATTCTTGTTTTGCTCGATCTCAGTGCTGCATTTGATACTATCGACCATGATATTCTATTGCAAAGATTAGAGCACTTAGTTGGCATAAAGGGAACTGCTTTAAGCTGGTTTAGGTCCTATCTATCTGAACGCTCTCAGTTTGTACGTGTCAGCGATGAATCTTCCACGCAAACCAAAGTTAGCCATGGAGTGCAACAGGGCTCAGTGCTCGGACCTATTTTGTTCACATTATATATGCTTCCGTTAGGCAATATTATAAGGAATCATTCTTAAATGTAAACTTTCATTGTTATGCGGATGATACTCAACTATATTTATCAATCAAGCCTGATGAAATTAATCATCTAAATAAAATTGAAGACTGCCTCAAGGACTTAAAAACATGGATGACCTTACATTTTTTGATGTTAAACACGACCAAAACTGAAGTTATTTTACTTGGCCCGAAGAATCTACGAAACAAATTATCTAAAGATATACTAACTATGGATGGCATTAATTTGGCCTCCAGCGAGACTGTAAGGAATCTTGGTGTTATATTTGATCAAGATTTATCCTTTAACGCCCACATAAAATCAATTTCAAGGACCGCCTACTTCCATCTACGTAACATTGCGAAAATCAGGCATATCTTGCCTCAAAACGATGCAGAGAAACTAGTCCATGCATTTGTTACTTCAAGGCTGGATTATTGTAACTCATTATCAGGGTGTACCAAGAAGTCAGTCAAGTCGCTTCAGCTGATTCAAAATGCTACAGCTCGTGTACTAACCAGAGTTAGGAAAAGGGACCACATTACTCCTGTTCTGGCTGCCTTACACTGGCTCCCTATAGAACACAGGATAGAATTTAAAATTATTCTTCTCGCCTACAAAGCCCTTAATGGGCAGGCGCCATCTTACCTTAAATAACTCATGATACCCTACTGTCCTACTAGGGCATTGCGTTCCAAGAATGCAGGGTTGTTGGTTGTTCCTAGAGTCTCTAAAAGTACAATGGGAGCCAGAGCCTTTTCTTATCAAGCTCCACATTTGTGGAATCAGCTTCCAGTTTGTGTTCGGGCGCCAGACACCCTATCCGTTTTTTAAGAGTGCGCTTAAGACCTTCCTTTTTGATAAATCTTATAGTTAGGGCTGATTAGATTCAGCCCCTAGTTTTGCTGATATACAGTAGGCTTAGTTTGTCGGGGGACATCTTACTTCTTCCTTCTCTCTGTCTATACCTGTGTACTCTCATGTTCCGATTAACCTAGCTTCCCCAAATGTCTTTCTTTTTGGTATCTATATACGCCGGGATCCGGAGTCATGGATGATCCTGCGGTCCTGTGTCCTGGATCGCGAGCCCTGTATCTTGAGTCGTGGCTGTGGTCCTGGATCATAGGTCTTGGATGGATATCCTCGTGGATTCATCTTCCTATTATACACACATGCATTTCCAAACATTTGGACTACCTATGTTGCAAATGTATTATCTTTTCAATTTACACACGGCATCTATTGCACGTCTGTCCGTCCGTCCGTCCTGGGAGAGGGATCCCTCCTCTGTTGCTCTCCCTGAGGTTTCTCCCATTTTTCCCTTTAAACTGTGGGTTTTCTCCAGAAGTTTTTCCTTGTACGATGTGAGGGTCTAAGGACAGAGGGTGTGGTATTGTCATACTGATACTCTGTACAAACTGTGAAGACCACTGAGACAAATGTAACATTTGTGATATTGGGCTATATAAATAAACATTGATTGATTGATTGAATTTATGTAAGAACTATGTAATCCAAATGGATGGAAATGTTATATGCAATTCAAATATATAAATCTCTATATTAGTGCCAAATATTTTTGAGTGTATGTTCTAGCTTTTATAATATATATAAATAATCACTTACTGTCACTTTCATGCAACATCTCTTAACAAATGTAAATCTGCTAAGGGGATGTTTATGGGAAGTGTAACTGATGCTGTGTCTCTATTTGCTTTATTCTGTACTTACATGCGTCATGATTTTGTGTTTTCTGTTTTATTTTGAAATGCATATTCTCCTTGTGTCTTGTCCTGTTGTACTTTTTTCCTCCCTGTGCGTGACAGTCTGATTGTGTACACCCACTGCCCCTGTGTCCCACCTCCCATATGTATAGGCCTGTCTTCCCTTGTGATCTTGTCAGTTTGTGGTCTTTGTTCCCGTCTGTTGTCCCCGAGATCCTGTGTACTGTAACAGTGCACTCATATTGTCACACTTCTCCCACTCAACAGTAGCCATCTTGGCTACGTTACAGAAGTTGAGGGGCCAGTCACAATTGTGTTTTTTCAGTGAACACAGCTATACAATCAAATGTATGTATGTATGGGGTTTTCTATATTTACTACACTACACATACTACTAAACTATTGATGAAAAAGAAGGCATCATTCATTTAATTTTAATTAATTGAGCACTCTGTAATGAGTGCCACCACAAATGATAAAGTAGCTAGCAAGTTAGTAAGCTAGCTACCCGCGGAGATGGTCACTTCCGGTGAGGGCATAGCCGCTGTGTGCTATTTGATACAAGGTCAAAGTTCACACACAAGTGTGATCATTGGATCAAATCATTGTATTTTTGGATTGGAGTGTCATTGTCATTTAACATCTAGCCTAAGTACTAAAAAGCTATTTTTGCTTTTATCTCCATAATGCGATTCACAGACCTCCAAGACGGTGCTTTACTTTGCTGGAAATATGACTGTATTCGATTTTTCTGTTACAATAGAAAACTGATCCATAAAAAATGATTTTTCAGATGTGTCTTACTTGTAGAATCAAGATCCGTTCTGTCGGGGTAGATCTTTTTGATTGCTATTGCAACCACCTGTAGTGCCTCCACAGCCTGGACCTGCAGGGTGAAGCTGTCCAGCATGGCCTGACCGCAGCCCAGCAGGTAGGCTTCCAGAATCACAGCCATGCGCTGGCGGAAATACGGACACCCTGCCACCTCACTGCGGACATACCAGAAGAAGAAGTGGCCGAGTCTCTTGCTCTACAGTCAAGAAAAAGACATTGGAGGTGAGTGAGCCACAAGGCAGGACCTACACACAAATGTAGCTGCACTCCACATTTTACTGCAGTGATACTGTAACAATGTTTTTCTCACTGTAAGACAAGATTAGCAAAGAGTAAAAATGATAACCTGAATTTTAAACAGGAAGAGGAAGCATAACGAGGCCTACAATCACAACTGTTCCTAGGTCAGCTGACACCACAGTAATAATTTGAACATGGCTTAGTGCAAGGGCAGTTTCAGTGAGGTCTTTTATTTTGTAAGTACAGGCCAATGTAATGAATGTAAAATATTAGAGTTAAAAATATTCTTTCCACTAAAAACTGATGGATTTAGTGACATCCATCGGTGAAGTTACAGATTGCAACTAGCTGAATACTCATTCCCTCTTTGCTGTTCAAGGGTGTTGGAGAACTACCGTGTCCTTCAGCTTAACAGCATAAAACGCCTTTCCTAGAGCCAGGCCACCAGGGCGGGCGGAGGGGGACCGGAGGAGGGACACAAAACTAGGGCCAACAGGGTGGGTGGAGGGGGTCTGGAGGACGGGCTTGGGCTGACAGCCCAGGGGCAAGGCAGAGCTTGAAAAGGGGGTTATGGAGGGGCGAAGGCAGTGGCAGGAAGAGTCAGGGGGCCGGGCCCGAGGGCGAGGACCGCGGCACTCAGGGGGCAGGGCTCGAGGGCGAAGACCGCGGCTCTCAGGGGGCCGGGCTCGAGGGCGAAGACCGCGGCTCTCAGGGGGCCCGGGCTCGAGGGCGAAGACCGCGGCTCTCAGGGGGCCCGGGCTCGAGGGCGAAGACCGCGGCTCTCAGGAGGCCGGGCAGAACCCGGTGTCGGCCGGACAGGAACCGGCGCTGGTGGGACAGGCTTCGGCAGGATCAAGTGTGTGTGTGTAACGGACTAGGACCAGGAGTTGTCAGGACCCTCGGCAGGAGGGCAGTCGGCGGGACCCCCAACGGGACAGGACACAGGATTGGCAGGACCCCCGGCAGGAGCGCAGTCGGCGGGACCTCCAACGGGACAGGACATAGGGTTGGCAGGACCCCCGGCAGGAGGGCAGTCGGCGGGAACCCCAACGGGACAGGACATGGGGTTGGCAGGACCCCCGGCAGAAGAGCAGTCTGCGGGACCTCCAACGGCACAGGACATGGGGTTGGCAGGACCCCTGGCAGAAGAGTAGTATGCGGGACCGCCAAAGGGCACAGGACATGGGGTTGGCAGGACCCCCGGCAGAAGAGCAGTCTGCGGGACCTGCAACGGCACAGGACATGGGGTTGGCAGGACCCCCGGCAGAAGAGCAGTCTGCGGGACCTCCAACGGCACAGGACATGGGGTTGGTAGGACCTCCGGCAGGAGAGTAGTCGGCGGGACCTCCAACGGGGCAGGACACAGGGTTGGCAGGACCCCCGGCAGAAGGGCAGTCGGCGGGACCCCCAACGGGACAGCACACAGGGCTGGCAGGACCCCCGGCAGGAGAGCAGTCCGCGGGACCTCCAACGGGACTGGACATGGAATTGGCAGGACCCCCAGCAGGAGAGTAGACGGCGGGAACTCCAACGAGACAGACATGGAGTTGGCAGGACCCCCAGCGGAACCTCCAACAGACCAGGACATTGGGTAGGGACTTGAGACGTGACTCAAGTAGGGACTCGAGAGGAGACTCGAGAGGGGAACCAAGGGGGAACTCGAGAGGGGAACCAAGGGGGAACTCGAGAGGGAACTCGAGAGGGGACTCGAGAGGGGACTCCAGAGGGGAACTAGAGAGGGGACTCCAGAGGGGACTCCAGAGGGGACTAGAGGAGAGACTAGAGGAGGTACTAGAGAGGGGACTAGAGGAGAGACTAGAGGAGGTACTAGAGAAGGGAACTCGAGAGGGGACTTGAGAGGGGAACTAGAGGAGGGACTAGAGGAGGGACTAGAGGAGGGACTAGAGGAGGGACTAGAGGAGGGATTAGAGGAGGGACTAGAGAGGGGACTAGAGGAGAGACTAGAGGAGGGACTAGAGAAGGAACTCGAGAGGAGACTAGAGAGGGGACTCGAGGAGGGACCAGAGGAGGGACTAAAGGAGGGACTAGAGGAGGGACTAAAGGAGGGACTAGAGAAGGGAACTCCAGAGGGGACTCCAGAGGGGACTCCAGAGGGGACTAGAGGAGGGACTCCAGAGGGGACTGGAGAGGGGACTGTGGCAGCTGGGGCCGGGACTGGGGCCGGGACCATGGCTGCTCGGGCCAGAACTGGGGCTGAAACCATGGCTGCTGGGGACTGTACTAGGTCTGGAACCATGGCCGGAAATATGGCTGTATGATCCAGTTCTGAAGCCGGAAACATGGCTGTAAGGTCCGGTTCTGAAGCCGGAAACATGGCTGTAAGGTCCGGTTCTGGAGCCGGAAACATGGCTGTATGGGCCGGCTCTGGAGCCGGAACCAAGGCTGCTAGGACCGGTACCTGAGTACGAGCTGGCTTCCTGACCTTGCGTCTTTTAGAAGTCTTTTGGAGGCTCCGTGGACCTCCAAACGCTAGGCGGGATCCCAAGAAAGGGTCAGAGAATGGAGACTGGCACTCAGGGCTGCGTGAGAAAACTCTGAGAAACTCAGGCAATGAGCCTCTCAACCATGGCATGTTGTCCACCTCCATTTGTGCCTTTTTGAGGACAGCCTCTTTGTCCCTTTTAGCCAAGGTTCTACTCCATTCAGCATAATGACACTGAAGAGTGTACTCTAGGGATAACAAGTCCAAATCAAAATTAAAATCCGCTGGGTCCATTGTTGGTCGGTTCGTAATGTTACGATGTGCAGGAAGCAGGACCCAAATGCAGATTTAAGTGACAAAATAATTCCTTTATTTCGAGGCTACAATATTCAGAGACAGAACAGAACACTCACACTCACCGCAGTTTACTCACAACACAAGACGAACCGACACTGAACACAGGAAAAGACAAGACTAAATACAGGAAGGGGTAATCACAAGACGAGACACAGCCGGGCAGGGGAGGAGAAACACAAGAACCACAGGTGAAAACAATCAGACAACTAGACACACCAGGGAAACTAACGACGGGAGGAAAAACACAGGAAGAAGGACCAGACAATATACAAGGATGAAAATACCCATAACCAGACATACAAAACTACAACACAGACAGATCCTAACAATATAACATTAGAAAGCTGCATGACTTACCCGCAGAGCTCTTTGGATGAGGTACCGAGCGAGGCAACTGTCGTGGTAAGGTTCCACTTTGAGTGTCTGTAAAAAAAGAAAGAAATGAATGCAAAATATACAGATTTCACCAATTACTATAAGTGGCTCTTCAATATAACATTGTTTGCTTTTGATCACTTCTGATCAAATGTTTTATATCATATTGAGTGTACATTCAACAACCGCACAGTAAATATCAGTGCAATACAACCTATCCCATTAATTGACTGTGGATAGACACAACCATAAATGCAGAGTAGCGTGGATTAAAAATGGCATCTTAACATTTAGCTTGTTTTCCAGAGACACTAGGCTATTGATATCCTAAAATACTACCAGTCACCAGGAAGACATTGTCTTGTGGTAATTTTGATTAAACTGTGTTTTCAGGCATATATTATGATTTTAATACAAGTCAGCCTGGGCCATTAAAAAGTCAGCCACGAAAAGAGCTAATTTAGGGTTAACTAGCTAGCTACAGTTAATCATATGTTGTCAATTTACCCATCAATGGTCTCTGGTCAGAATGATAAGCCTGCTTTTGTCTACCACTGTTTCAGAACAAGAACATGACATGAAACTAATCAAATTCAATGCCACAAATTGCTATTCTCTAAACAACAGTAGTTATCGGATTTTCCAAAGATGGCCCATAAGAATGTCAATACTGCTGTAACAACAGAAATTCAGAAAGCATAAAACCTATATTTATTCATGCTTTTGTTTATTTAAAATTGAAATAAATTGCGTTTCATTGCAAATACACAGTGGGTTTGGGGCTGTTGGGATCTTGGGCATCAGCCTTCTTAGCCATGTCAGTATTTCGGTAATGGTTAAACTTTTTGAGCTGAGATATTGTATTGCAAAGTATTTGTTGATTTATGTCCCAATTTATTAGTAATTTATCAGATATTCTTAAGTCTAGATTTAATTTGTTTCATATTTATTTTGTTATTGTCACACTTCCTTCAAACAGACACTAGTGGATCACCAGAGCGGTTAGATTAACATTAACATGCTTATTGTAGTTGTGGCCTGTAGCACCATCCTTACATCCCTACAGGAAAGGAGTGAGCACAGCCAGGCTGTGAGTGTGTGTGTGTGTGTGTGTGTGTGTGTGTGTGTGGAAATCGGCGGAGCCGCAGCTGAGAAAAGACAAGGCTGAGTGAGTGTGTGTTCGGATATCCGCGGAGCCGCGGCTGAGAAAAGATAAGGCTGAGTGAGTGTGTGTGTAACGGAGGTGATCTTTGGGGCCATAGATCTCGGCCTCCGTTAAGAATTGTGTAGTTTTGTTGGTGGCGAAATGTATGTAGTGTATGTGTTTTAGTTTGTCTGTCTCTGTTTGCTGGTTTTATGTTGAAAAGTGTTCCCCTTCCCCCATGTCTGTTGCTGTTGATTGTGTCCACCTGGTGCCCTGTGTTGTCTCCTCCCCCCCCACCTGTGTCTAATTGCTGATTAGTGTGTGTGTGTATTTAGGCTCTGTTACCCTGTCTGTTTTGGGGGTGCAGGTAGTGTGTGTGAGATCCTTGTGGCTGGTGACTGTGCTCACAAAAACAGCAAGATTGAAGCTGTGTCCTGGGCTCGAGTTTAATAAATGCCCACACCGGGTTATATTTTTGGACGTTGTCAGCGTCACGGTGTGTGTGTGAGGAACTCACACACACACACACAGCTGTTACGTCACTATACTTGTTAATGTACGTCACTATACTCAGGAAGAAAAAAATGGAAAAAGAAAAATCTCCAAACGAGGCGTTCTGGGGCAGCATAGACAGGTATTTTCTGTGTTAGAGTTTTATTCGCTACAGGGTGTACTTTGAGGGTTTGTGACTTTGCAGACCGTTTACATGCATAAAAAGCTACATAACACACAAGGGGAAAGGTAATAACCAGAAAAGCATGTCATGGGACCTTTAAGAAAACAACACATACCTGCACCAGCTGAAGCAAATACTTTAGCACATCATCATTGGACAGGCTCTCCAATCTCTGGACGGCTAGTCTCCTGACGGTCATATCAGCAAAGTCCATGCTTAACAGCTCTAAGGCCACTGTTAAATCCAGTTCACTAGGATCCCAATTTCCCAAGAGCCAGTGGACATCTTCAACCACACTGCGATTCATCCAGTCAACATTGCGTAAGAAATGGGGGAGATTCGAGGCGTAGCGGACACTCTCCTCCCGGAATCTTTTGAGGCAATCCCTGCTGGTAGTGGTGACTGGAGACCGGGATCTGAGAGTGACTGTGTCAGTCAATGAGTCCTTCTGAGGTTTCCCATTCTTAGAGGACAAATCTGTGCTTGATAAGGTGGATTGGGGTGAGTGGGAGGGCTCATTAGAGGAAACATCAGATTTAGTCGGGCTGAGACTGGAGGTGGGCAGAACCACAGGGAAACTGTAGCGGTCTAAAAGGAAGCTGATAGCCATCGAGTCAGCTATGTCTGGGTTGGTAGCAGAGGACAACTTGTCCGCTTGATAGGTGATGGCCTCTTCCTCCAGGTCAGGGAAGGACCACATGTGCATTGTGTGGGGGCCCTGGCTCAGGATGGACCTGCAGGGGCCAACAAGTGTACAATTTGAAAAGAACCCTAAACCCAGCACCTACAGTTTTTCTCAATTCCAGGCTGCATTTCTTGTTAAACGTACGTCATATATGCTTCAAAATTTGACACTAAATGTACCCCGCTAGTTTCACCTTGTCAAATGAATGACTCTATCTGCTGTAGTGATGGGAGTAGAGGAAGATGTTGGGTGACAAAAGACAAACATTGGACTTTAACCCTATTCATGTGAGTGTGAAAGCAAAAGTCAATGCTGACTTATTTGTACCTACGTATTCAACTTAATTTACATACATGATAAACCTAAACAAATGTCTTGTTTGAATTCACACCATTGACTACCTCTTGAAGTCTTAAGTTCTACCAGGTTTGTTGAAAAATAAGGCTGAGGGTACCAACTGCGTTAAAAGGTTATTCCTGACCATGCACATCCTTATATGTTGAGTTGGGAATGTAAATGTGTTGCTTTTCATCATCTAACACTGTAAAGACACTGATTAAAAAACGTCACAAAGTTTTAATTGATATTAAAAAATCATACCTGTGATCAATGAGAAGAAGATTGACGAAGTAGAGCACCTTCCCCTTCCCTTTCTGCAGGTCTGCTGCCTTGACTGAAGCTAAAGTCGACCTTGAGTCTTTGTTTACTGAACACTTTGGGTCTTTGGTTACAGGGGAGATGTCACCACCACTACCAATAATAGTGAAACCCAGTTTGGCACCACGAGGCAGATCCCTGAGCAGAACATCAAAGTCCAGCCACTCATTCCACAGCACTTCATCTGCAAAGGTCTTGGATGTGGAGGACACTGAAGAGAGAACCTTGTTACCATAAAGTATGGAGGCTTTCACATAGACCGACTGAGGGGATTTGCTTGGGAGTTTTGGGATGTCAAAGCCAAGCAATTTCACTCGAAGTCTTCTGTTGCAGTCCCACAGTGATATCATGAAAATGTCATCCAAATCCTTCCCTTCGAGGCGGAGATCATCATGAGAGCTGAACTGACCACTGGAACCATCAACAAGAGCCCAGTCCACATACTTGACAGTCTCACTGACAAGGTGCGACACATGGACAACAGAGAGGTGGAGGTCCTGGTTGTTTTTTAAGCACTGTCGAACCCACAGGAAATCATGCAGGGGGCTTTCTCCAGATAAAAACTCCTCCCTCCCGGAGACCTTCAACACCAGACCATCAGAAGTGTCATACTTAATTCCCTGGTCTACCATCACCCTTCTGAAAACGTCAAGTAGAACACTTGGTGTTGTACTATAAGCCACGTGTGTGCTGAAGCTGATCTTGTTCATGTAATGAAAGCTAACAGGGAGATTTCTGTTAAGCTGGTCCTGTAGGTCATTTGGAATGGGGGTGCTCGTTATCCAAGGCTCTGTGGTATAGATCTTGTCATCCCGATCCCTCAACTCTTGTCTTCTCGGAGATGCCAGTTTCCTGCGAGTAAATGTGAGCTCACCAAGTCTATCAGACGCTTCTTTCTCTAGATTGTGTCCAATCAGGTAAGCCAGTAACTGCTGCTGTTTCATCTTCTCCTCTGAATCAACTGCCATTAGTGGTTTAACTACTATGTGCGCCAACAGACGCCCAGTGTCGTCACATGACCATGGAATGTCTAACGTCCTGACGACTTGGCAGTCATCATAGGCCTCATACCAGTCTTCCCCCCTGGTGTAAAGCAGAGTGTATTTCTCTGGGTCCAGAACTGCAAGTGGGTCTGGATGGCAGTTTTGTTCCTGTGCCTGAAGGTAGACACATTTTGGAAAAATGTTGATGGTTGCAGCTTGATTATGTATTAAAGTCTACAGCCACACTAGCAGCTATGTTAGGTTGCATTACACACAGATCACCCATTGTAGCCATGCCTCATACAGTACCTAGGGATGGGTATCGTTAGGATTTTATCGATACCGATACTGCTTATCGATAGGCTACCGGTATTTTTCGATACTCTTATCGATACTTTTCAATAATTTGGTGCTCAAAATTATAGACATGATTACAAGATGTGAAGATTAAACAGTCTTTTTATGGTAATTTATTTTTATTTATTATTTGATGTAACTTTTTCAATGTCATACCAAGCAGGTATGAGTGTGTTTGACAGTGTGTCTCTGGAAGGGGGCAGTAATTAGGGGCAGTTCATAAATCCATGTAAACATGACCATTATTCAGTTAAAACGAGACGCTGCATGCGCACCTCCTAAACCGGAAGCTCCGGTCGGCTAACCATTATATTGCGTTTATTATTTGTAATTGTAATGATGGATTATCAGTAGTGGTGCACGATAATTATCGGCCCGATAATTATCTGCCCGATATTAGGAATTATGACGTCATCCCGATAAACCCGATAACAGTATTAATAGCCCGATAATATACAATATATTTTTTGGGTAAAAAAATACTGCGGTGTGGGTGGATTGGGATGAGGGGCGCTTGTTTTTCAATCGGCTCCTCCCGTTTTGCCAGTACTGTGGTATTAGTGGTTTAGGAAGAGGGGAAATTTTCACAAATCCAGCGCTCCCTAACTCATGCCTGCTGTGACGTAAATGGTGTGCGGCCGTGAAGCCAGGACAGTAAACAAACATGTCGCCGGTAGTATGGGACTATTTCAAAGTTTCAGAGTTAGATAGTTCGCTTGCTATTTGTATTAACAAACGCAATGCAGAAGTTCCACGAGGAGGGAAAAAGGCAACGAGCTATAATACTTCCAACCTGATTTGTCACCTGAAACATCGCCATCGCTACGATGGTGTGTTAAAAGCATACGAAGACGCCTGCGCTGCTAAACTAGCGGCGAATCCAAAGCCAGCTGCAAAGGCACCGGGACTTTTACCTATCGACGAGGCTTTTAAAAAAGGCAAAAAGTTTGCCAGAGACGACCCCAGGGCTAAAACGATCTCTAACTTCATCATAGAAATGATGGCGCTTGACGAGAGTCAAAACTGTTCTTGGCTTTGTTTTGTTCATAGTAGTAATGCTCATGTCATTTGCTCACTACTAGTCTTTTTTTTTTACCACCAGGTGTGCAAAAACTACAGGTACATTTAATATATTGTAGTGCCGAGAGATAGGGAGTCGGAGGCGGTGCAATGGAGGTACAAAGCTTGCTTTAATGAGCAGCAGAAATGTAGATGTTGTTGGGTCGCAGCCCGGGACGACAAGAGAGAGAAGTCAGGAGGGCACACAACATATATAGTAAACACATAACATGTCCGTGTGGGAACAATAGCCCCAACTGTAGTTCCATGTATGAATTATGTCCCAGTGTATTAATAGGTGGTCACCACAATATATTATATTATTATCGGTCTTGAGAAGCAGGAAGTTATCGGTATCGGTTTCAAAAAACCAATATCGTGCATCCCTAATTATCAGTAATCATTTTAAAGTTACACAGAGACATTGGATTAACTGTATGCCCTTAAACACACATTTTGATCACAAAACAGCAAAGGTAAGACATAACTATCATCATGGCTACGTAAAGTGAAGATGTTTTCTTGCTCTTTCCTGGCTGCTAGTTCAGTGAGTTTTGGTCGTACAGTGATGAGACTTACACCAATGGAATCAGCTTTCATGTGATATGTTAGTGCAGATAAAATGACGTAGAAAAGATCGCTTTTGCCAGTTATGTGCTAAAGTAGCCGTTAGCCCCGATAGCCCGTTTTGCTAAGTGTTTATTTAGACTCTTGGTGTTGGACTTCTGTTCCATGTAGGTACAATGGTTAATATCGTCTGTTAGCTGAGTTTTTCCCGTTAAGTGGGTATGCATCATTAATAGGTTGTTAAATGTTAAGAAGCCTTGAGACGCTGTTTCTACCGTAGCAAGATGTTGCGTCTGCCCCTATGGTCTGCCCCCGGGAGTCTCACAATAATAAGAGCTGTTAGGAGAGATGACGAGTGGCATTCGAAGTGGCCAATCAGTGGTACTCAAGCAGGATACGTCACACGGGATGAGGGTTCCCAACCAACCAGAATTGTTTAAACTAAGGAAGTAGCGTAATTCATATACCGATAGCAGCACCGTTTGTCCAGCGGCTTAACGGTATACCAATACCGTCCAATCAGGTACCGGTATGACTTAGTACCGGTTCTCGATACCCATCCCTACTCATACCCCTTTATTTCATCCCCATTACAAAAGTGCTGATTCTGGGTCTGGCCCTTTGAATGTAACCAAGCTGCTGCTGGCCAAGCCCCTTTAGAGATCACGCAGTGAGCTCTCCTCTCTGAAGGGAAGAACGTCTGCCAGCAGAAACTCGGCTAAACGTTACCACGGTGAAGTTAGTTTTAGGTTGGATATTCGACAGACATTCCCGGACCAGCCAGCAGCGTCACCCCTCGATTCCACCGGGTCTGTCTGCGTCGCGTCACGGCTGCGCCGCGATTTTGGTCCGGCCTCCTCCAGTGTCATACCCTACCGGGCGCGTTTCAGAAGCATTTCAGAAGCGGAGCGTCTTACGCGCCGGCTCGCAGTTTTTGTTGATTTGGGAATATTTCCTGGACAGGCTACTTTGTACAGACAAAGTTAATAATAATTGTAATATTCCAGTTATAAACGACATGAATCAAAGATGTGTTGCTGTATTTTAGTGGTAAAAAAAAAATGCATTCATCATAATCAGTCTATAATTTACACAGTGCCTGTAAACCGGAGGAGTACGCTGGCATCTCTCCTCCTACTTGAAAGACTACGGAGGGATTGGGTCTGCAAAATTAGTTTATTTTTGGGATGGGCCGGATGCTCTGACCGTTCCTCTTCCTGCCCGGCGCCTCTGTAAAGCCTCGCGAAAATACGCTTCTGTATGGGCTCAGAACAGTCTCATAATACACACATGCACACAGAAGGACTTGTATTTCATGATCCGCAAAAGGATTCACACTTGTATTTCCGGATCCACACTTGTGTTTGTCAATGCACACACAAATGTGTTCCGTTTCATATACATGTAAATAAAATCCAAATACAGAAAAAAGTTTTACATGTGTATTTTTGATCCTCAAATATTAGTTTTCCGTTTAAATCCCCTGAACCTGCAAACACAAACCGCTTCCTGTGCACGGATCGCTGTGCATTCGTGTGTGGGTTTTTTGAGACTCCCCTGACGGTCAGCCGATTCGTACTTGTAATTTGTTCTATCTATAGCCAATCAGATGTCTCCTCAATTTTAAGCCAATCACATGAGCGCGCCCCCACGAGGGTAGATTTCTTGCGTTCATGACGTAGCGCTTCATGTACGCATTTTGCGCTGTCCGGAGCTGACAGGTCCATGGAGCCTGCCTGCAGGCGCTAATCTCAGGACACCTCCACTCAGTACATTGCCACTTTCCGAACAGGAAATGCACGCAAATACAAGCCTTTATATTATTAAGGTACAGCGCCACTTTCCGAACCATTAATGAATGCTTGTGTACACAAAAACGGCAGGCAAAACCGTTTTAAATGTGTGTTTCCTGTATGGCGAATACAGCTGCTTTATTTATGTCTGCATGAAGTTGTTGTGAGTGTGGAGGGAGCAGCTACAGGTTAGCTTAGCCTAATCGATCAGTGCACTACGAAGCCAGTGCTAGACAGTGAACTGTCAACGGGGGGAGCCCCGCCGGTCATTATCGGCCGATATTCACTCTTAATAGTTTGATCGGTGTTCTCAATAAAGGCTGATCAGGAGAGCTGGATCTGATCGATATGGACATAAACGCGAGTGAAGTATAACCGGACGCGAGAGAGATCAGATCAGCTGCTGAGTCTGACGGAGACACGCAGCTCTGCATAATCACCTGATGCTCCGCCCTCTGTTTAGCGAGCTGACCGGACAGCGCAAAATGCGTATATGAAGTGTCATGAACGCAATAAATCATACCCTCGTGGGGGCGCGCTCATGTGATTGGCTTAGAATTGAGGAGACATCTGATTGGCTATAGATAGAACAAATTACAAGTACGAATCGGCTGACCGTCAGGGGAGTCTCAAAAAACCCACACACGAATGCACAGCGATCCATGCACAGAAAGCGGTTTGTGTTTGCAGGTGCAGCGGTTTTAAACGGAAAACAAATATGTGAGGATCAAAAATACATATGTAAAACTTTTTTCTGTATTTGGATTTTATTTACATGTATATGAAACGGAACACATTTGTGTGTGCATTGAAAAACACAAGTGTGGATCCGGAAATACAAGTGTGAATCCTTTTGCGGATCATGAAATACAAGTGTGAATGTGTGTATTATGTGACTGTTCTGAGCCCATACTTCTGAGCCGTAGCTTGGCGCGTCTGGTGGAATAGCACCCATTGACTAGAGTGGCCACGATTTTTGCGAACGCCGTGGCGCAGCCGTAACGCGACGCAGACGGGGGTGAAGTGTCTTGCCCAGGGACACAACGACATGCTGACTGCAGTGGGGTTTGAACCTGTGACCCCCTGAACCTAACACCTAGGGACAACCCACTACGCCACACGCCCCCCAATTACACAAGAACAATGTTCTTTTTAATAAATCGACAACTTCCCGATCGTGTGAATGTGAAAAACACATCGCGCATTGATTCTGATACAGTGACGTTTCAGATGTTGGACGATTTGGTGGGCGGAACATTGCCAGGAGTTGAATGTAAAGCCAGCCCATATTTTAGTAATGTCGTCATGACCGCAGCAAATCTAAATCAGCTCCGTTGTACCCCCATTTTTAGAGATGTGACTAAGGAGGAAAAGAGAGAGGGTTGTATTTTCTGACACTTTGTGAGTCCCCTGACACACCGGGGACACTTACAGTATTTATGTATAAAAGACATCAAAAAGGACATTTTGCATAATGGGTGATCTTTAAGCTACAAACATAATATAATCCTAAAACAACAGCAACAAAATGCAACATACACATGAATGCAGTAGTAATAATACCAACACCAAAACACTGACAGGAAAAATTTACTTCAGTTCGCTCAGTGAGTTTACAAGTGCAATTTCTGATAACACTTTCCTTTTCTTAAGAAGGGCTTTGAGTCCATGCATTTTACAGTTTAACAGTGTAATTATAGATTTTTTTTACTGAAGTAAAGGATCTAAATTATTCCACTACTTCTTGAAGAAAGCAGTGACCGACAAACATAACACAACATAACATTACTAGCACTGCTAGACCTTTTCCTGACCTGTTTTCTTCTATTCCAAAGAACCAACCACCAGAACAACCTTAAAAAAAACTGAATACCTCTTCCTTTGTAAGTTGAGCATTGTATTTATCTATAAAAGTGTTCTAAACTGTTCTCAGTTGCAATGGCCAGCTAAACATTTTTATATATTGACACAGATTGAATAAACCCCGAGAAATAAAACCCATTTTTAACAAAAGAGGTAGCCTACCTGCATACAGATGCGTAGCCGTAGCTGGTAGACACTGCACTGCGCAGGTAGAATGACCGACACAGACTCATTGTAATCCCCATCTCCGGGCGCCTGCGGTGGACCAGGCTCGGGCTGAAACTCACAGATAAACTTCAGGGTGTTCTCTGAGCAGCTTTGAGTCGACATCCCAGACAGACAGTTCACAGCACTGTCCTCCTGACTCAGGAGCAAAGCAGGATCCATTGATACTTGGAGTGAAAATCCGATTCCTTTAATAAAAAAAACTGATTCTAACTGATCAGGGAAAATCGTTGAGAAAACTTCAAATGAATCTAGAATACAGGTGCAGTTCCCCTGAACTGTGAGTCTGTACCTGTTTGACAGCTGCTTCCCTTTTTATGATTGCTCTGGGACTTCCTCATTCTTTCATACCATAGTTCTCAAACACTAGTGTATAAATATGACGAAGAATTTACTGACCTTATAAGGGGGTTAACTTCCTTGTTTGCTTTTTGCTAAAATAACAGGTCCCAGTAACCTTTTTCTCTGGCATTTTCACACTTAACAGACATGGGTAAAAGTACTTTTCTGCTTTAAAATAAAAGCAATACACAATAGCAGTGTGCTTGCTTTACCAGTGATCATCATGCTATGTGCTCAAAAATATGACAACATTAACAAAGAGGAAAGAGCTCATGATCAAACATGTGCAGAGGGAGCAGTGCTAATGGATTACAGGAATGCCTCAAACCGGTTTGTGTTGTTAGGCTTGATATTCCGCAAAGGAACTGCAGAATGGATTATGGATGCATGCTGCTTCAGTTTTATGTCTCCGTTCCACTGCTACTAGCTCCTTTAGACAATTGTTATGTTAGCGACTCAACATGGCAACCTGTAACAACATAGGGCTACTGTTCCATAACCAAAGTATGGATCGTATGGTATTAATCAGAGCACATATAAAACCTTAGCACTATCGGAGAGGTACCGTATTTCCCGGACTATAAATCACGTTTTTTTTTCCCCTGTCTGGCTGGTCCTGCAATTTATACTCCGAAGCGACTAACCCCTAGATTCCACCGGGTCCGTCTGCGGCGCATTACAGCCGTGTTACGGCTGCGCCGCGGCGTCCGCATGGATCGCGGCCACTCTAGTCAATGGGTGCTATTCCACCAGACGCGCCGCGTTACGGCTCAGAAGCGTCCCAGAAGCGTCTCGCTGCTGGGCTCTGCTCGAAATAGGATTGAAGTTTATTTTTTGACGCGACGCAGCCGTAAGGTAATGTCGGGCAGGCAGGAAGTGGAACGTTCAGAGCATATATAGCATATATATATATATACACACACACAAACTAATTTTGCAGACCCTATCCCTCCGTAGTCTTTCAAGTAGGAGGAGAAATGCCAGCGTTCTCCTCCGGTTTACAGGCACTGTGTAAATTATATATATATAGAATAATTATGATGAATGCATTTTTTACCACTAAAATACAGCAACACATCTTTGATTCATGTTGTTTATAACTGGGATATTACAAATATTATTAACTTTGTCTGTAAAAAGTAGCGTGTCCAGGAAATATACCCAAATCAACAAAAACTGCGAGCCGGCAGGGTATGACGCCGGAGGAGGCCGGACCAAAACCGCGGCGCAGCCGTAACCCGCCGCAGACGGACCCGGTGGAATCTAGGGGTTAGGGTACATTCACACCTAAAAGTCAGTTTTCTGGTGCGCACCAGACCATAGTTTGTTACATTGTTTCATTTTTCAGAAGGTTCGGTTTGCGTTCACACAGGCAAAACTCAAACGGACTATACACTTTAAACACAAGTCATGTGCACGGAAATGCTGTTCAACTATTGGTCAGACATTAAGGGGGTAAAAACGCAAATCCCGGCAATTTCTAGCGGAGCCTCCGCCATGGAGCATCGGCACTTTCGGCAGGTTATTCTCATGCTGCTGTTAATCTGGAGATCAACAGACACTAGCGACCTGTGCATATGGTTATATAATCAGACAACGTCCATTAAAAAACATTATAACACATATAATGAGAGGCGTTCTCCAGTAAGGAGGGGCGTTTCACCGACGACAGGTGTTCTTACTTTTATGTAGCTGACGGAGAATTTTCATTACACGACACTGTTCAACTGCTTCACTCTTTAACTAAACAACCGCGGATGTCTTGAAAGACTCTTTCGCTAAAGATTTTGAAGATATCCGTGTTCTTGTGACTCGTAAATACTACGCTTCCTATGTTTTGGTGCGGACTGCGTTCACACCAGCAAGGAACCGCTCCAGAGTTCGCAAGCAAGTGTTCCGAGACCACCTATTTTAGCGGACCAGAGTCCGGTTGTTAGTTCACTTAAGAGGTCTCGGATTGTGTTCACACCGACCCAAATGAACCGCACCAAGCTGCTAAACGCACCAGGGTTCGATTCAACCGGACTATACAAGGCAGGTGTGAACGCACCCTTAAATATTGAATTTTGTCTGACTGCATTCAAACTCCGGCCAATAGATGGCACTGTATACAATCGAGACAACTGAAAACTGCTGTACCACTGAATAAGAAAAAGGTCACGGCAACCGGGAGGATCATGAATGTATAATAAGAACGGGGAGGATGCGTCACGTATAACTTTCCAGGATGTTGTGGGATGGATGAACACAGCATGGGCTTCAGTGATGACCGACACCATCCTGTCGGGATTCAGAAAGGTCTAACCGGAGCTGATTCTGATGCTGAGTCTGAGGACAGCCCGGAGCAGGACATGCTCCTCATCGACACCACTGTGTCGCTGTTAAACACTTCCACCGAAGTTGGCGGAAGTGTTTAACAGCGACACAGACGATGAAGACTTCAGTGGATAAATGCGACTTATCCACTGAAGCGACTTATATATGTTTTTTTTTCTCTTAACAACACGTTTTTTGATATGAGCGACTTATACACAGGTGTGACTTAAAGTCCGGAAAATAAGGTATATATGTTTCTAATTAATGATATGAAACCTGTCAGATGTTTGGATAGAGGACACAAATGTGTGTTGGTTAAACTAAGATCAGAGTTTCTGTTAAATGTTAATCAGTTAAAATATCAAGTCAATGTTGACTTTAAATTTAAAACCAAGATCATGACTTTTCTCTTATCTCTCCTTAAAGGTCCCATGTCATGGCCATTTCTACTGATCATATTTCCATTGTTGAGGTCTACTAGTATATATTTTAATTGTGCAATTTTCCAAACTCACATTGGTTTCTCATACAGCATCTCTGTAAAGTATGTGTATTCACCAGGTATTCACTCTCTGTCCTAAACAGCTTGTTGGAGCTCCTGCTCCCCCTCCCTGTGAGCCCAGTGTGCTCTGATTGGTCGGGACGTTGCGAGGCTCGCCGCTGCGAGGAGCGGATAGGTTTCCGGGTCGGCGATACAGCGAGACACAGCGAAACTCATCCTGAGCACACACAAACACTCACAGTCGAAGTAAAAACAATAAGTGTGGCTTGATATTGAGTAAGAAAAGGTTTATAACGCTGTGAGAATGGGTCTGCGGAGAGCATTTCTCCACGATCCCAACTCGTCTATTACCAGCGTTCAGGGAGCTCTATGCAAGTCAATGGGGACTCCCTGTTAGTTAGCCAAGGGATCCTGGTGTGTGAGGTGCTCCGCAGATTGGTCCATTTGGGCATTTGTTGTTGATTTGGGTGTTCACACATCACAGAACCCAGGAAGAAAACAATGGAAAAAGAAAAATCTCCAACGAGGCGTTCTGGGGCAGCATAGACAGGTATTTTCTGTTTTAGAGTTTTACTCGCTACAGGTTGTACTTTGAGGGTTTTTGACTCTGCAGACCGTTTACATGCAGATAAACCTTCATAACACACAAGGGGACAGGTAATAACCAGAAAAGCATGACGTGGGACCTTTAAGAAGTTTAATCATTCTTTAGTTGCTATGAGTTGATGCTGTAAGGATTATGTAATCAGCAAACATTTAATTGAAACAAGTATCAACATTTTGCAAAAGGTCAAATGCATACACCATAATGGTTGTCTTGATCAAAGGGAAGTATATTGTTACTGGAGGCTTTGTGCTGTATAATATCTCATATAACCTAGAAGAGGAAATACTGTAGGTCTGCTTTGAATTTGCCTGCCGTAGAAACATCAAACAGGACCTACTATATCTGAACATAATTGGCTCTTTCCTGTGTTTATGAACACCTTTATCTCTGTTTCTTATCCTATATCTAATAACTGCTCGGGTCTTGATAGATTGAGTGGGGAAGTTCATGAGATCTTTCTAGAGGGTTATCAAGAATAACTTTTATCCAATGACCTTTTCCCTCTCTGTCTGTGTATTCTCTTGTTCCGATTAACCCAGCCAAATCTTTTTTCTTGTTTTGTATCTACGCCGGGATCCGGAGTCGAGGCTGATCCTCTTGCTGTAGTCCTGTGTCTTGGATCCTCTATCCTGAGTTCTGGATTAAGCCGTGGACTTCGGGTCGTGGCTGAACCTGTCACCTGCCTTGGGTCTCGTCATGCTGCTTCCCTGATGGCTTCCACAGGATTGTAGCTGACATCCTCGTGGATTCATCTTCTTATTACAGACACATGCATTTCCTAACATTCCTAACATCCTAACATTTATATGCTGTAAAATGTATTATCTCTTCGATTTACACACGGCATCTATTGCACGTCTGTACGTCCTGGGAGAGAGATCCCTCCTCTGTTGCTCTCCCTGAGGTTTCTCCCATTTTTTCCCCTTAAACTGTGGGTTTTCTCTGGAAGTTTTTCCTTGTACGATGTGAGGGTCTAAGGATAGAGGGTGTCATTTTTCTCATACTGATATTCTGAACAATCTGTGCTGTTGTATTTGCTGTAAAGTGTCTCTACTGTAGGCTATTTGTATTATATGTACAGCACTTTGGCTCGACCAAAAATCGTTTATAAATTTGCTATATAAATAAAACTTGATTTGATTTGATTCAACAGTTACTGTGTCATGAGATACAGCTATGTACTAATGTGTACGCCAAATATGCACAATTTGTTACCAAGCACCTCTATAGCCTTTGTTTTATCCACAGTCCTCCAAGAGTAGTTGTCATGTATTCAAATACATACAGTCCTTGCAAAAGATTGGTTGGATTCCATTTTTTATAGTAGTGTTTTTTGTTCTGAGAAAAAAGTTAGAATTCTGAGAACAAATATTATGACTTACATCTCACTAAATA